CAGGCCCTGAGGTGTCCCAAGACGTCTTCACCTCCGAGGTTCGAGCGTCGAACCTCGAGGATCGAGGCTTCCGGGCCCTCGGAGGCCCTCGTCGCCGCTGCTGGACGCAGCTCGAGCAACTGGTGCGTTTGGACCCGGGATGGGCCCGAGGACCAGCTTTCATCGGACTTGGGGTTCGGAGGGCGCCAGCCCGTTGCCGCCGCTGCCGCCCCACTCATGTCCTCTCGCTTCCCCCGAAGCGCTGTCCTCCAAGCGAGAGCGCACGCCCCGAGTCAGAGTGGCCGTACGAGGGCGGACTCGAAACGTCAGTGCGAGCTCCCCTCGGGCCAGTCTTGGGGCCCCGGCCCCCGGTGCCCGAGGCCGCCTGCGCGCTCCTCCCCCGCCGATGCTCAGGGGGGGATCCTCTCTCCTTCTGCGGGCCCCAGGGATATACATGTATAAATGTATATATATATATATATATATATATAGAGATACATACATACATACATACATACATACATACATACATACATACATACATACATACATACATACACATACATACATACATACATACATACATACATGCATGCATACATACATACATACATACATCTCAGAGCGAGGTGGCTGAACCGAACGGTCATTCATTGTCCCTGCGTGCGTGGCTGAAGCGGAATTCCGCGATGCGGCTTCTTGTTGTTGCTTGTTGTTTGTTGTTTGTTGTTGTCGTCGTCCCACCCGCGACCCGCCCCGCGACCCACCCGCGACCCACCTCGCGACCCACCCGCGACCCACCTGCGACCCACCCCGTTACCCACCCGCGACCCACCCCGCGACCCACTCGCGACCCACCCGCGACCCGCCCGCGACCCACCCCGCGACCCGCCCGCGACCCACCCCGAGACCCCCCCGGCGACCCACCCGCGACCCACGGGCGACCCACCCGCGACCCACCCGCGACCCACCCCGCGACCCACCCGCGTCCCCCCCGCGACCCACCCGCGACCCACCCAAAATTTTCGGCGCTTGCGGCGGGCTTCTTTTGCATTCGTTCCAGGTGGAGAACCTGCTACCCACCCGCGACCCAAACCGCATTCAGTGTACAAATCAAAATTTTCGGCGCCTGCGGCGGGCTGTTTTTGAATTCCTTCCAGGTGAAGGTGGAGAGCCCGCGACCCACCCGCGACGCAAACTACGTTCACTGAACAAGCCAAAACTTCGGCGCCTGCGGCGTTTTTTTTTCGTTGCATCGGCGACCCACCCGCGACCCACTGGCGACCAACCCCGAGACCCACCCGCGACCCACCCCTCGACCCACCCGCGACCCACCCGCGACCCACCCGCGACCCACCCCGCGACCCACCCAAAATTTTCGGTTCCTGCGGCGGGCTTCTTTTGCATTCGTTCCAGGTGGAGAACCTGCTACCCACCCTCGACCCAAACCGCGTTCAGTCTGCAAATCAAAATGTTCGGCGCCTTCGCCCACGGCCGCCCCCTCACTCTTATCTGCAATTGCGGGGTATTACGTGTGTGTAAATATAAGAATATATCTATATATATATATATAGATATGTATATATGTATATATATATATATATATATATATATATATTTATCACCACCACGTCGATTCCTCCTCCCTCCTCCACCCTCCTCTTCCTCTCCTCTTTCCTCGGAGAGGGCGGGGATGAGGGAGGTGGTGGTGGCGTGCACCTTTGGGCCCCGTGCTTTCTTCCTCCGCGGGCGGGCCGAGCCAGGGCGCGAGCCTCCCTCGGCCCCTCCCCAGGGATACAAGGGGGCGGGGTCGAGCTTCCAGAGGAGGGGGACACGCGACTGCCGCGCGGCAGCCTCACCAGACCGCATGCGGGTCCGCTTCCGGGCTGTGCCCGACCATCCTCCTCCGCCGCCGTCCTCTTCTTCACCACTCCTCTTCGCGCCCCGCGCCCGGCGCGCCCCGCCAGCACCGACCCCCCGGCGCGCGCCGCCAGCACCCACCGCCAGCGCTGCTGTCAGAAACCCAGGGTGGTCCTCATGCGTGAGGATGGCTTGCTCCCGGACTTGCGATGTTTTGATTTCTCGACGTGGGGCCCCTGAAAGTTCCGACCCCTCCCCTGGGGCCAGTTTTTCGTCGCGAGTCGTTTGTTGACGGTCCCCGGTCTCGGCGAGGAGCCCCAGAGGCAAAGGATTGGAAAAACCTCCCGTCCGGATTTTTTCCGCGACGCCACCATGTCTGGGCCGCTCTCTGTTGTGATCCAGTCTGGCGGTGGCCGGCCGCGTCCAGGTGGCGCGCTGCGCCGCATGCGCCGACCCCACGCCGCCCCGGCCGCAGGCCTCTGCGGGGCTCGGCGCCGCCCGCGTCGCGGCCGTGGCGGGCTGCCGCGGGCCCCGCGTGAAGCGGCAGGAGGAGGAGGGGGAGGAGGAGGAGGAGAAGGGGGAGGAGGAGGAGGAGGAAAGGAGAGGAGGAGGAGGAGGAGGAGGAGGAGGAGGAGGAGGAGGAGGAGGAGGAGGAGGAGGAGGAGGAGGAGGAGGAACGAAAGGGGGTGATTGGGAAAGGGGGGGTACGAAATCTGCTTTGTCGCCGGGCCCACTCCTCGATACAGAGGCGTATCCCGGCGCGGGGAGGCGCCGGGAGAATCAGCTACGTGGGCTGCTGATTCTCAACCCCCCCCTTTGCTATCCCCCCTTGTCGCCGGGCCCGAGTGAAGCGGCAGGCCTGGCGAATCTCCCAGGATCTCGGAGCCGTCTGGGGGTCCGAGGTGGCCCAGCACTGGCTCAGGCCAACAGGAAAGGCGGGCAGGCGAGGTTCTGGATCCGGGGAGGCCTCTGGGGGCCGCGTTCGAGCCCCAGTACTGAAATCCTGATCCGGAGCGAAAAGTGTTCCAGATGGACCCCAGGAAGGATCCAGGGTCAGTTTTTGAATGGATATGGCCTCATTCCCCGCCTCCAACCAGGATCAAGGGCCGAGGTTGCGACTCCTGGGAGGATCAGTTCAGCATCGGCGCCGTATGGGTGTAGCACCCCGCAGTTGGAGTGAGGGGGCGGGCGCGAGGTGGGTCGCGGGTGGGCCGCGTGTGGGTCGCGGGAGGGTCATGGACGAGGACGTTGACAACAACAGCTGCAAGCAACACACAGCGAATAACAGCCAGCAACAGCCAACAACAATAATTTCCAGACTGTTCGCGCTTACCCGCTCTCGTAACATTCAACACGTATATCCCCAACCCTGGCTATTTTTCCTTTTTGTCTTCGATCGCACCCCCCTGTGGGTAGATCTTCCTTACCTGCCGGGTGTCATTGGTTCAGCCCCTGAAGCAAGGGAAGAGAGGACGGATGAAAGGGGAAGGAAGAAGGATGGATGATGTGATTGGCAGGAGGGGGGCCAGGGCAGAGCGGACGTGGCAGAACCAGACGGGCCCATCGGGCTGGTAGAATCTGACGGGCGGGTTGGGAAGGCGGGCGCAAGCGGCCAGGTCGACAAGGCGTGCTGCTGAAGCGTGAGTCTTGCATGAATTGAGAAGAGCTCGAGCAATATCGCGATTCCCAAGTAAATCATGAGAAAGGCCAAGGCGAGAGCGTGATTCTTGAGTGTCGAGGACACGGCTCCTGAACACATTGCGAGGAAGTCCCACGCGAGAGCGCGATTCTTGCATAAATGGTGAAGTCCCGCGCGGGAGCGCGATTTGGGAATTACTTGTGAGGAAGTGTCTAGCGGGAGGTGTTGTTGAGTTCTCACTACTGAAGAATACTTACCCAGTGCGACCCTACCTAGAAGTTGGAGCCCCTAGGAAAGCAGCATTAGTTCCTATGCTATGCTATGCTATGCCATGATATGCTGCGCTATGCTATGCTATACTATGCTATGCTATGCTGCGCTATGATATGGTATGCTAAGCTACGATATGTCATGTTGCGCTGTGCTATGCTAAGCTATGTTATGATATGGTATGCTATGCTGAGCTGCGCTATGCCATGACATGCTATGCTATGCTATGATATGATATGCTGCGCTATGCTATGCTATGCGATGCTATGCTTGGCTCCTCTATGCTATGCTATGCTATGCTATGCTATGCTAATACAGCGCTATGTCTGCCGCACATTGTCTTTGCTTTGTCTTTCATTTGCTTTATTGTTGCTTTCGCTTTGCTTTGCTTTACGTTGCTTGTGCTTTGCTTTGCTGTCGCTGCTGTTGCTTTGCCTTTGCTTTGCTGCTGTGCTATGCGATGCTCCTCTATGCTATGCTATGCTATGCTATGCTGCGCGGTGCTATGCGGTGCTGTGCTGTGCTGCGCTATGTCATGATATGCTATGCTATGCTGCGCTATGCTATGCTATGCTGGGCTTTGCTATGGTATGCTGTGCTGCGCTATGCTGTGCTACGCTCTGCTATGCTATGCTGTGCTCTGCTATGCTAAATCTCGGCGAAGCTAAGATGAAGGTAAGCTAAAGTCAGATAAACCTGAGCTAAGATGAAGCTACGCTAGGCTAAGATGAAATAAGCTAAGCTAAGATGAGATCAGCAACGCTAAGCTAAGGGAACGACACTGGGGGAACCGCGAGGCGGATCCTGGGGGAACCGCCCGGGGCGGGTTCCACTGCCCGGCCCTGTAAGCCCACACAGTAAGAACCCTTCTAGGCAGAGCCTAGGTAGGGAATTACTGTTCATCCCCCCTCTGGTGACCATTGTTTTTTTTTGTTTCACTTGAGGTGCTTCCGCCGGGGCTCGCACTTGATCCATCAGTCAGGTTCCACCAGGTAGTTTCAATTTGCGCATGCAGTGCTGGAGTCCGACGCAACGGGCCTGATGATTAATTGGTACGCCAGCTGCCCCAGCTTTCTGTTTGACCCCCCCCGCATTAGATTCAGGGCCGCTCTGCCTCTTCCGCGTTTCGACTAGCAACAGCCATTCTCGCCTACTCTGGAGCACATCCCTCTTCTCCCCTTCTGGTGCGCTTGCGGCTCAAGCCTAGAAGCGCCGGCCTGCTTTTACTTTGTCATTTGGACAACAAGCCAGAATGGATGGCCTAAGCTTTGCAGAGTTCGAGAGCTCTTCCTTCGACCAGCTGCACTCTCGCGGGTTCGCAGGCGCGAAACATTGCGAGAAGCTGGCGAAGGATCTGCAAGAAGGCGCGACGGCCTTGACAAATGGGACGGGCCTCATAAGCAGCTTCCTTCAAGGGGGCACTCCGGCACCGGTCACGAACAAAAACAACAGAATTTGCGAGAATGCAGAAGCATCTATAACCAAACGCTGGGCTTTCGCAGAAGAAGTGAAGGCTTGTTCAAGCGATCGTGGGTTTGTGTGCGTGTGCGTTTGTTTTTCGTGCGCTTTCCATTTCTGTGGTTTAGATCCCATCGTTTCTCTGCATACGTTCCGCTTGCTCTCATTGGTGTGTATTATTTGTCGTGCTTTCGCCCTGTCCTTCTGGAGGGAGATGGGTTCGCGTCAGAGGGGTGACAGGGACGAGCAGCAGAGCAGAGACACTCAACACCAAAAGGTGCGACACTACTACTTTGAGGCAGCAAGGGGAATTGACTTGTGCTTTTCATTGGGCTACCATTGTCTCATCGTGTTCGGCATGCGTTCGCTGGCTGTCTTTATGTATCGCTTGGCGCGTTGTACATCTTCAAAGTCGTACGCGCGTGTTTGTGTAGAGGTGCATAGCATCCGTCGTGCGAGGTGGTCCATTATTGACAATGCATCACGCTGCAAAACAATAACCTAGACATCCTGTTGTGGAGTGGCTATCTTGTTGTCGAGTGACTAGCAAGTCATGCACACCTGTACCATTTTCGCACGCAAGAAGGGGGTATTGACGATTGGTAGATCCCCGCCCAAGCCCACCCAGTGACGATACTCAGGTGAGTCGCATTGATCCGCGGAGGTTGGAAGCAAGCAGTGGATCACATGGGGGGCAGTCGTCGAACCGAAGCTCGGGATCAGCCTGAGCAGCCCCAAACGTCAACCATACGTTCGTGCTCGGATCTCTCGATAAGGAGAATTCCTGACAATTAACTTGAGCAGTATCGGGGCCTTCTTGGGGCAATTTTGGGGATCAGTTGGGGCCTTCTTGAGGCCCCCTCGGGGCCTCATTGGGGCCCTCTTGGGGGCAAAGGAGATCATCTTGGGGGGCATCGATCAACGAAGGGGGGCAGTCCCTCGAATAGGATCGCCTTCCTTGGGTCAAGACACGCCTCCCAGACGCAAATTGGTTGGCTCTCTCCTACCCTCCCTCCCAATGCATTAGTAGTATCCGGGACTCCGCAAATTCAGCGGTCGTCTTTGGATGGACAGTTTCTGGGAATCAGCAGAGACCCCAGGTGTGCGACGCTGGGGCGAAGTGCTCCACGCGTGACAGGCGCGGCAGGCGCCCCTGGGGCCCCTGCGCGCCAAGCACGCCTGGTGCGCCAGATGCGCCGCGTGGTCCATGTGCGCCACGTGCGCCGCGTTCTCCAACTGCGCCAGGTGCGCCACGTTCGGGGCATGCGCAGGGTGTGCCAGGCGCGCCCGCCCGCGCACATCGGGAAGCACATCGGCCCCCACCTTCCTCGCGGAAGGCAAATGCAGAGTCGTGTCGGAGTGGCCATGATGATGATGTACTGATGACTGGTGGGCTTGCACACAGCAGGCAATATGCCGACACACCCGCCGTCCCTGTCAGAAGCCAGTGCAAAGAGATCGCGGGGTGCCCGCGCATGATGCAGATTTAACCGCGAAGTGCAAATGCTTCGCTTTTTCCCAACCGTCCTGTGGTGTTGGGTGTGTGGTGTTGGGCCCTCGTTTTGACAGGCAGCGCCCCGCGTTCTCCTCCTTCCCGCTCCTCCCTCCTCTGATCCTTGCATTTGGCCTTCGCATGTGTCTGTTTCGGCACACCTCGCATGTCCACTTCGTCACACCTCTCGCACGCTTCGTGGCCCCATCGGGAGCTCCACCTCAGGTCACACTGGCAGCGCCCGCATGCAGCTCCACCCCCATATCGGTGCACCACTAACACGGTTCGTGGCCCTACAGGTAGTTCCACCGAATGCCCCAGTGCCAGCGCCCGCATGCGGTTCCAGCCCCATTTCGGCACACCCATCATTTTTCGCATGCCCCCATCGGGGGCAAGGACCCAGTGACAGCGCCCGCATGCGGTTCCACCCGAGTCCTCACAGGTTTCGTGGCTCCATAGGGAGCTCCACCGAGGGCCCCAGTGGAAGCGCATGCATGCTTTTCCACATTATGGCGCACCCCTCACACGTTTCGTGGTCCCATCGGGAGTTCCACCGAGGGCCCCAGTGGCAGCGCCCGCATACATCTCCACCCCCGTATCGGCGCACTCACTCCTCACACGCGTCGTGGCCCCATAGAGAGCTCCACCAATGGCCCCATTGGCAGCGCTCGCATGCAGTTCCACCCTCCACTTCGACAGACCCTCCACACGCGTCGTGGCCCCATATGGAGCTCTACCGAGTGCCCCAGAGGCAGCGTCCTCATGCAGTTCCACCCCTGTTTCGGTGCACCCTTGACATGCTCCGTGGCCCCATAGGGAGCTCCACCGAGGGCCCCTGTGGCAGCGCCCAAGAGCAGTTCCACCCTCCATTTCGGCACATCCCTCACACGTTTCGTGGTCCCATCGGGAGTTTCAGCGAGTGCACCAGTGGCAGCGCCCGCATGCAGTTCCACCCCTATTTCGGTGCACCCCTCACACGTTTCGTGGCCTCACAGGGAGCTCCACCGAGGACCCCTGTGGCAGCGCCCGCATGCAGTTCCACCTTGCGTCGCTGCACACCCCTCACACGTTTCGTGGTCCCATCGGGAGTTCCACCGAGGGCCCCAGTGGCAGCGCCTGCATACACTTACACCCGCCATGTCAGTGCACTCCTCAGACGTGTCTTGGCCCTATGCGGAGCGTTACCGAAGGCCCCAGTTGCAGCGCTCGCATGCGGTCCCACCCTCCACTTCGCTGAGCCCCTTACACGTTTCGTGGCCCCATGGAGAGCTCCACCAGAAGGCCCTAGTGGCAGCGCCCACATGCAGTTCCACCCGCCATGTCGGCGAACCTCTCACACGTTCCGTGGCTCCGTGGCCCCATGGAGTGCTCCACCCGAAGGTCCCAGTGGCCCCTGATGTTGTCCCCGCTCCTTCACTTCATGTCCCTCGCGATTCTCGAAGGCCCCCGTGGCAGCGCCCGCATGGCGGCTCCGGCACATTCCAGCACACCCTTCACTCGCTTCGAGGCCCCATGAGGAGAACCACCGAAGGCGACACAACTGCAGATGGTTGGGTCCGTCGCCAGGCTAAGTGTCATGGATGGAGGCCTTGTGCGCAGCAGGTATTCTTACACCCCCCCTCGCCCCTGCCAGGCAACATCTACAAAGTGATCGTGGGGTGCCCGGGCATGATTCAGATGTTGCCGCAACGTGCAGTGTGTATTGTTCTTCTGGCAGGGACAGTCAGGGGTGTCGACACTGGCCCTGCTTAGGGGCTGGTGCAGTGGGGAACGGGTAGCATATTAGTGAGGAGCTGAGGTGAAAGCCCTTCCCGAAAGGGGAGAAGGGGCGTTGGAAGAGACAGCGTTTTGAACCACCTCCGCCCTGGAGGGCTGGTGGGATCAATCAAGAGGGGGGGGGATAGAGAGAGCGAGAGAGAGAGGGGAGGAAGGATCACATTAGCTAGAGACAGAAATAGAGAGTGAACGAGAGAGAGGGAGAGAGTGAGGGAGGGAGTAACATAATGAGATAGAGAGAGAGCGAGAGAGAACGAGAGAGAAATGGAGATACAAAGAACGACATATTAGCAAGTGAGGATTATACGCGGCCAGTCGGGCGCGAGGGTGACGAAAAGGAGATGTGGGGAGTGTGGGTCGTGGGTGGGTCGAAAGTGGGTCGCGGGCAGGTCGCGGACGACGACAACGACAACAACATCAAACAAGCAAAATCCGCGCAGCGGAATCCGACTTCAGTCACGCACCCAGGACTGGTGTAAGAACGTTCGGCGCCCTCACTGTGACCAGTCTGAAACAGACCCCCATCCCTGCGATTGGCATCACCTTGTCTCGGCGCCTTCCTGGAGGGTTCGCCCAGTCCCTGCTGAGGGCACGTCCTTGAGATTATCATCGCATGGGACTTGTCAATCTCATTGGTGTGGATGACCTCGAGGCTAGTCTTAAGTCGGGCCTGTTCCTCTGCAGGAGCAAAATTTAGAAATAATCAAAAAAACAGTGTTGGGGGACGATTTTTTTTTTTTTTTTTTTTTTTTTTATAAATACAATTTTTAAGCATTTTGGATTATTTTGGGGGTATTCTTTACGTTGCGTCCAAAATCTCCCTGTAGGGGGACCTGCCCGATCTACGGCCAGTCTTCCTCTGCTCCCCGAAGCGGCCGCTGGCAGGCAAGGGCCTCAAGGAGCTGGTCGGCACCGGCGCCGTGCCCGCGCTGTCGCCTCCGGGCGCGGCCAAACCGCGCGTCGCCAGAGCTTCCTTCCGGCTTGCAACGGGTGACGCACCGCCACACGTCCAACGTCTTGGATACGTCCACTCGCGTTCGGAGGGCACCAACTATACACCAACACCGATCCTGGCCAGGATCGGTGTTGGTGTATAGTTGGTGCCTTCCTACGCGTGGCCCATGATCTGCCTCCGGGGGCCAGCTTCGGGTTCCGGGGTCGTCAGGGATCGAGCCAGGATGAGAAGCCAGCCCGGGGGAAGGGGTCGGGCCTTCAGGGGACGCCGTATCGAAACGATCAAGACATCGGATGGTTGGGTAGGGGGTAGGCACCAAACACTGCATCAATGCTTGGCCAGGGCGACCCTAGGGCCCAGGATGCTGTATATAGTAGACCCAGGCAGGGTGCGTACACCTTCCCGAGAACGCCGAACCGATACCCTTTAGATTTGTTTCAAGATTTTGGATGTCCGAGCGCAGCTTCGGATATGAGGATGTCGGTGGTCTTCGCTAATCTCAAATATGCCCTGGCCGTTTAATGACAGTTCTCATGTCGGCGTGGTGGACATCTGTGTTGTACGGCTAGAAGGTCCCAGGAAAAAATGAGCAAGTTTAGACAATGTATCAGTGTTTGCGTGTTCAGGTGTGTCGTTGTCAATCGTTCGTCGGGCCGTGAGCTCCCAGGCTTGTTTCGCACTGGTGCCAGACTAGCGTCAGAGCGTTTGTCAACAGTTTTAAATGTTATGCGCGAGAATCCTTCTCGTTTCAGATCCCCGGCCATCTCTACATGTTGCGACGAAAACGGGAGAGCGGGAGCGAGGACGGCAGGGGAGACAAGGAACAGATTTCGACATGAAAGTAAACCACTCTTATTTAATCGATTCGCTCATTCCGCCGGCCCGTATTGTGCCATCGCAGGCGTTTGCTTGCGCGTTCGTGGCCTCTTGGAGCCTCGTTGGGGCCGTTTGGGGCCTCTTTTTAGGCCTCTTGGAGAACTCGGGAGGCCTCCAGGGGGCCTCCTGAGCTCTCGTGACGGTCTCTTGGGGGGCTTTCGGCGGGCTCTTGGCGGTATTTGTTGGTCCTCTTGGGGCCTGGGGCCTGACGTTGTTGGTCCTCTTGGGGCCTCACGGGAGCTTATTGGGGCGTCTTGGGGGTGTCTTGGAGAGTCTCTTGGGGCCTCTTTCGGGGTCCTGGGCGCCTTCTGGGGCGGAGGGCTCGATTTTTCAGTTCTCGGTTCCCTTCTTGAGCCCCTCTTGGGCCCGTCTTGGGGCCTCTTGGTCCGCCTTGGGCGGCACTTGGGCCGTCTGGGGGGCGCTCTTGGGCCGCTCCGGGGCCGTCTTGGGAGCCTCGTGGGCCGTCTTGGAGCAGTCTTGAAGGCCTCTTGGGCCCCCTTGGAGCGTCCGGAAGCGAAAAGGCCAGAACGCAAAAAAACGTAGAAAAAACAAACGAAAATCAACGATTTTGGCAATTTGGGGCCCTCTTCGGAGGCCTCTTGGAAGGCCCTTGGAGCGTCTTGGAGGCCTCTTGGGCTGTCTTGGGGCCATCTGGGGCGTCTTCGGGCGATCTTTGGCCGTCTCGGGCCTCTCTTGGACCGTCTAGAAAGCTTCTCGGGGCCGTCTTGGACCGATCTGGAGCCCTCTCGGACTCCGAAACAGAACTCCGGCATCTCTGACCCGACCTTTCCGGGACCTTGCCGGGGACTTGCCGGGGACTTGCCGGGACCTTGCCGGGGTACTTTTCGTCCGGGGACCCCCAGGGGCCGCCCCGCGCGCGCGAACTAGAAATATTGTTAACCAGGTACCGGAGATCTTAGCACGCCCTGGCCCGTTGGGCCGGCGAATTACGCAACAAAAGCGATGTTCCACAGCGACTGGTCTGAAACTGTCTACCACACAAGCAATGTTTCAACAACGTTCAAAAACGTTGAGTCCTTCAGTTTAAAGCGTGTTCAGTCTGTCAAGAGCCCAGCGTCGAAAACGTAAGTAACATCTCAGGCCATGTTTAAGATGAGCCACGGTGATGGTGGCAGTGATCGTTTTGTTGATGATGATCATGATTACGTCGAGTGCGTTGCTGCTGAGTATGATCATGGCGATTACACTGCAGAGGACGATGATGATGCGAACGTATGATGCTAAATTGTGATCAGGCAATGATGGTGGCGATGATGGTGATGGTGATGATGGTGTCGATGACGTTACTGGTGACGCTGGTGGTGTTTAGAATGTGACTGATGATGGTGTGGATGGTAGTTGTGATGGTGATGGTGATGATTATGCCGATGATGATGTTGTTGATGATGGTAATGATGATGCTAATGATGACGATGATGATGATGTTGATGCTGATTATGGTGATGTTGATGATGGTGACGATGACGATGACGAGGATCATGAGCATGCACACAATGGTGATGATGATGCTAGTGTTCTCTCTGATGCAAATGCTGATGCTGATGACGATGCTGATATTTGTGGTGATGAGGAAGCTGATGCTTGTGATGATGATGCCGGCGATGATGATGATGCTGATGCTGATGATGATGATGATGATGGTGGCGATGATGATAGTGATGGTGGTGACAATGGTGTTGATGATGCTGATGCTGCTGCTGATGGTGATGATGATGATGAGGGCGATGCTGTTGCTGCTGCTGATGATGATGATGATGATGATGACGACGACGACGACGACGATCATGATGATGCTGATGTTGATGAGGGTGAGATCTGTTTTGATGCCCCGGTGCATCCGTATTTCCCGACGATCCGATTTCCGCCTCAAGTTCCAATACGTGAGATCCTGCATCGACGTCAAATGCAACCTGGGATGCATCTGGACCAGAAGTCCGAGTTAGATCCAGCCGTTGCCACGAGGAGCCTCGCTGAGGTTCCAAAAGCTAGTCGAATACGCAAAACAAATACCAACACACAAACAAAGTCTTTGATGTCGAACCTCGATCTTTTTTGTCACCGTATCACCGCCCTCCCCCGAGACTTTTTTCTTTAGCGCGTAACTGTTGTTGCCCGGTCCCCCCCCCCTCCCCCCTTTCCACCCCCCCGTGTACGAGAAACGATCGTACGTGGGGGAGGGGGGGTGCTGGACCCCCCGCCACATGCTGGTGTTCGCGCACATGCTATGTCCATCGCAAGGCACCCCCGCCTCGATGTGCCCCACCCCGCCCAAGCGTCACCGTCTACCGTGGCCCCAACTTCATGGATGTTTCTGCATGGGGTTCCCGGAATTTCGACCCCTTCCCTGGGGTCGGTTTTTCGTTGCCAGTTGTTTTTTTGGCGGTCCCGAGGCCTGGCGAGGACCCCCCGGAAGCAGAAAACCGAGCAGCAATTGCGCACGCGCCCTGATGTTTTCGCGACGTGAGCATGTCTGGGACCCCCACCTTCGGGCCACGATCGTTACCAGAAATGATTGAAACAATCCCACCCCACCTAGTCTTCGGCCCCTCGCTTCGTTCGCTTTGCGGGCCCTCGTTCGATCCCCACTTGTCGCGCTGTGCGATTGTTGAGGACGAGAGTTGGAATTTGTCACCAACCCGCGGCCAAAACAAAATACCTATACGACCATCCTTCGGGTGATAAGGAGGTTGTGGGGGGGGGCGGGGAGAGGGGGGGGGGAACCAACATCTGACTCAATCGATCTCACTATCGATCTTACTCAACGGGACACCACTGGACACTTGTCGATTTCACTATCTATCTCACTATCGATTTCACTCAACGGGGCACCACGGGACACCTGTCGATCTCACTATCGATCTCACTATCGACCTCACTTCTTGGGACACCACGGGACACCTTGGGGCACCACATCGATCTCAGTATCGATCTCACTATCGATCTCACTATCGATCTCACAATCGATCTTACTCAACGGGACACCACGAGACACAACGAGACACCTGTCGATCTCACTATCGATCTCATTATCGAGCTTTTTTGGGGGGGACACCACGGGACACCTCGGGGCACCACATCGATCTCAGTATCGATGTCACTATCGCTCTCACTATCGATCCCACTATCGATCTCACTCAACGGGACACCACGGGACGCCGCGGGACATCGCGAGCCACCGCCGGACGGACGGACGGGCGGGCGGGCGGGGGGGAATCATTTATCTTGACTTCGTCCTAGCTGCGGCGGACACCACGGGACACCACGGGACACCGCGAGACACCGCGAGCCACCGCAGGACAGGTGGGCGGGGGAGAATCATATATCGTGGTTTCGCCCTAGCAGCGGCGGGTTCATTCCTCTCGCGCTCCCACGCAGCTTCGCCTCGCCCGCACGCGCGACACGAACGAAGCGAAACGATTTCCTGGTTGGGGGTCTCCGTTTCACTGCGATCTCACCCCCCAGCCTCCGATCTCCCTTTATTCCCGCGACCCAACCGGCCCCCGACCGCGACCCACCTGGGATCCTCCCGCGACCCGCCCGCGACCCGTCCACGACCCACCCGCGACCCAACGGCGACCCACCAGCGACCCACCCCGCGTTTGCCCCCTCATTCTTATAACCGAATGCCTTGGATCATAAACCAGACCCCCACCTCTATAGCTGAGAGTAGATGCTCCAGGGCCAAGATGGTCGGGGGACAGGGGCTGCAAGGCCGAACTTGATGACCGCCGGGGAAGATACGAATTGCAGCTGCTTGTTTTATGTGAAGTAGCGTATGACATATCCCTGTACTACAACCACGGCTGCTACTACTACTACTGCTCGTATTAGTATTACTATTAATACTAGTAGTACGGCGGCTATTACTACTACTACTACTACTACTACTACTTCTACTACTACTACTACTACTTCTACTACTACTACTATTACTAATACTACTCGTCCTACTACTACTACTACTGCTACTACTACTACCACTACTACTACTACTACCACTACTACTACTACTACTACTACTACTACCACCACTACAACTACGACTACTACGACTACGACTACGACTACGTCTGCTACTA